AACACACATAAAACACATTTCATCAAAGTTCTGCACGCTGAGAACACAAAAATAACACAAACCGGTAAAATTTGTACACGTTTGAACACGTGCTATTTTTCCCTTTTTCTCCTAGTGGGAAATGTGCCAGAAACTTGGGAAGCTGGATGTTTATTGCTGCGTCACAGTGCTATTTGCGCTGAGGTGCGCCTTTGTGGCGCATGTCCAGGGGTTCATCAAGCCTGAAAGGATTTTTTGCCGTTTCCATTATGGTATGTTGGTGACCCGTGTGGAAAATTTCAGTTCGTCAGTATTATATCACAGTGTGTTAGCTTCCGTACTTGGCATGCTACGTGAAACACCTGTTGGCTGTAATACTTGTATCGTATTCCAATATACGAATGTAAGCATCAAAGATAGACCAGGAGCGCTGTTGAAATTTATCAAATGGACTATTGTTCGCGTGTTGCCCTATGCCAACTCGCTGTTGCCGTATCCGTACCGTATCTAGGATTCGGCCAACGCATGACGCTCGTGAGCCTTGGAAAACGGTTCCATGCACAGGTGCGTGTTCGGCGCGTCAGATTTGAGGCTCAAACCGTGCGCTGCGTCATAATGCATTACGAAATCCATGTGATCGCATCCGCCAGTGCAGAGCAATGTACACTCCTTGCGTCAGAGCATTGCTCTGATGAAGTACTGTCAGTCGCAGCGCTGCTTTGTATAATCCTGAACCATGTCTGTACTGGCAGCTACGCTCGCCCGTCCCGACGTTGCTGGACGAGACAACGGCCCATCAGAATCATTGGAACTTTGGCATTTAAAATAGATGAAATGTCAAGGAACCAAACGGAGAGGTGGAAACACAGCCATCCGCAAATTGTTGCGCAATGTTCAGCACGCGAATTGGCCCGGAAGGTGTATGCCTTTATTGACTGCAAACTGGGACGAAAGCCAAGGTTGTTCACATGTGAGCGTGTGTGCACACGCTCGCGCAGCAAAGCCCTAGCCATATGCGCTAAAGCCTGTAATTTACAGGAAAAGCGCACCAATCAAATTGGACTCGCTACAGATGTTGTTGATGAGTAATAAACATATCTCCATACTCATTTCACCATATTATCACCGTGTTCACCGTGTGCAGCCACATCATATTTACCACCATTTACTTTGTAAATACTTGATTATTTTCCTCGTCCTCGCAAAAATACTAATGGAACTTTGCTTGCGTATTACCAAGATATGTGAAAACCCAGCTCCATACGGGAGTGCCTACAAATGCTTGCCGCAACAGGTAGCGTCCATGTTTGCCATTCCAGAGGTCGCTCGCCAGAAGCATGGAGTTCTCTGCCAGACATGCAATGATGTCTTCCATCAAGAAAGCCCGCACTTCTGGAACTTTCGTCGCTTGGCGACCTCAAGTCGGAGTCCTTTGCTGTTGTCTATAGCAAGCACGAAGTGACTCATCCCTGTGGCAAGAATGGATCTCTCATTTTTTCAGGAGATCCCAAAAGAAACGCAGCCTGTAAAATGAGCTCTTTTCATACCCTTAAAAGCTCGCTTTCGAAACGAATCCACAAAGATTGCCTTGCCAGCATTGTGTGTGCCGATATTTCCGTGGCATTTGTCCATGACATGGCATCGCTCAATCGCGATTCAGCTGGGAAATTGCTCGCCATTTATCGCCATGGGGTTACAACAGCAGTGAGAAATGGAACAAGGTACTACTCAGGGGCAATATGTCCCACCTGAGCAGGCTGAACGCTGGCGCTAACATTGGCACGCGGTTTTCAGCAAACCGCCAATTCCTAAACACGAACAGAAGGATGCAAAAGTGCAATATTTTTGCCGATTCGCGACCATTGCTCTATATTGCCGATAAGATGTCGAAACGTGACTCCTGCCCAAGTTCCAGCCACTTCGGGAAGTGGTTAACTCAAGAGCACTTTCTCGGCAACATTAGCATGAATATCGCCGCTCCGTTTCATGACCATCCCCTGTCCATTCCCACTTATGCATCATGTTCTGGTGCCACATTGGCATCAACATATCCCCTTCTGAGGCAATACCTGTGGCGTTAAAAATTTTCTCAAGTGCTTGCCAAAAGGGCGGGAGTCTGTATTTCAAGAGCTGCTTCCATATTAAATTAAGAAGCATCTGTGGATGGTTGCACCAAAACACACGGCCAATGCAACACGATACAATTACATTTGAAGGTGGCTTCAACACGGTTGGAATTGTGTGCAATGTGTACCACTTTATCAGCGGAACATATCATCACTTCTTGCCCGTGCCTCTGCCCCATGGGCCACCTCAGGTAAACTTGACAGCGGCAGACGCTTGTCCTTGCGGCAGACATGGCGCGCACCTTCACATTGCTTGCTTCATTCCCGACAACCCCGTCCGCTCACTGCACAATTTCGGACCCTCCCCCGTCTCCAGTCTCTAGCTTCAATATCCCAGAAGCTGCTAGGTTTATCTCCTGCCACCTCTGGCGCCGCTTTTCCGACGGTTGGCCTCCTTTCCCACAAAGCCTAGGAGGGCGTACTTGTGCATGCCAGACTAGGCTGAGTTAACATGAAACAACAGTAGGCGCTGAGGAAGATGTTTAGCAGACTTGCCTTGCGAAAATTGAGCATAATCTAAATAGCTATCGGCCTCCTTGGAAATCGTGTATTGACAACTTCGTCATTCTGAGGATTCATGCTCTATGTCACAGGAAATGAGTTCCAGCGCAAGAAAATATGACTTCAAAATATTGATCGAGCACAAACCAATTCCACAGTATAGGGCAACGCCGCTGCAGTGCGGTTATGTTAGAAAAGCCTGCACCTACCGCTTGCTATCGAAACAGGAGTGGCTGTTTTGCAAACGTGATGCTTTTTCAGATTGAAATGGTGCATTTCAGAAGACAGGCATCGAAAGCACAGCCCTGCTCAGGAATGCATGTCGTGTGTGTGGATCAGCATTGATTTGGGAGTGGAAGCGCCCAGTCTATGCCCTTCGAAATTCGCCCAACAACGAGTCAGCCTGCAATTGCCCTGTTTACATAAAGACAATACAAAATCAGGGAATAAGAGAATGGCAGCCACTAGTAAAAAACAGGCCAGATGACACAATCTTGACACTGCCTACTCAAAATCCAACTGTATGGTTTCGGAAAATGTGGTCCAAACCACACAATTAGTACACACATTGACACAGTTTCAACCGTGTACCCTCAAACAACTGTGTAGACTACACGGTTTCTCTGTGTATATGGTTGACATTGTGTAAATGTGTGTGCTAACTGTGCAGTTTTGGGACCACATTTGCCAAAAGCACAGGCTTGGATTTTGAGCAGATCGTATCAGGATTGTGTCATTTGGCCTATTTTTTCCTGGTGAGGCAGGAACGCTGCACTGGGCAGAAGTCGACCTTTCTTTCAACAAGTTGTTGAACGTTCTTGACGTTGAGCGCCGTTTCCCTTGCCAAGGGCGATATGGAAGCTGTGTTGCGGGCGGTTGAGGGGGCGACAGAGAGACCATTGCTTGGGGCATCATTACGTGGCCTGGATGTGTCGACGAGCCGCAAGAATGGCCGTTTCTCTACTCACATTTTTTGCAGTCAAAATACACCAACAATTTCGGCTGAATCTCGTCGTAATTTGCGCGAGGCTTGTACGCCTGTGTGTGTATTTGCTCCTTGCGCAGATGCGCCGATATAACTTCGCAGGTTCGGTCAGTGCAGCGTAGGAAACCAGCGTGCGAGATGTGCGTCTGGGCCCACTTACGCCTCAATAAATTTCAAGAGACCTTTAAAGGCGCTTCAAGCGGCTTTGCCAGAGATTTGGTGCTGGTGGCCTGGACCGGGCAGGGCAGCTTAGTGTCTGGGTCTCGGGCGCTGACTGCTGCCAATGGGGTGTAGCTCAGCAGGTATGGTAATGAGATTCCAACGAATTTCGGGATTGAATTCAATAAATCTGTTAAGTTTCGGATACGATAACAAATTGCATCCAAAGGACTGATAGTGCTTGGTCAGGGCCCGGCCGACAGGGTGAATTGCGTTTAGAGAAGTCGCGGATTGGGCTGGTTGAGCGGGCAGTATTGGGGATTGGTGGTGTGGATGATTGGGTTCGATATGGCCACTGCGTTCAGACTGGTATCCGCAAGTAGTCGGTGTGACTTCTGTTGAGCTTTAATCCATGTGCCAAGCGAATGTGCGGAAGCACAGCAGCCTGGTCGGAGAATGCGACAGTGAGCGCCGAATTCTTGGAGGTCAGCTGGCTATGGGCTATGGGGTAGCTCCTAACTCCGCTTAGTCGCTCTCACAACATTATACAACATAAGTTTAATATACAATATTCTCTCATATTTCCACACTATGAAGAACTCCTTTGCCTCTATAGGGGGGCTTGCAACATCGCATTGAAAAAGAAGCTGAACATATCTAACAAAAATGTATCCGACTTTGTTCCCAGGCGTCAAATTGTTTCTGCCTCTAATAGGTGGATATTCGCTTTAATGCCATCTACATCACCTTATTGGCTCTGCCAAATTGCATTGAAGAGGTCCCAGATCTGCTTTCACAGTGGCTCTCGGCTGCGTCATATGACGCAGTGATGAGGAGTCGCTGATTTCTCTAACGCTGCCGTGAGTTGCTGCAGTACTGGGCGCACTGTTGCAGGCGGCAATGCCCCGAAATTCCAGCTCAGAAGCTTCTTGATACGTGAACTTCAGTCTCGCAATGCGGCAAAATATCGTGCGCTGACTGTCCATTGCGCTCTGAGCGTAACGGCCGTCAACATTTGGAACCAGCGCTGGCAAGCTTTTTCCATTACCAGTCTTACAACGGGTTTGAAGGAAGGAAACCAATGATCAAGATTAAGCGGCATCCTGGCAGGTGGCTCATTTAAAACAATTGGCAAGTCTTCTAAATGGAGTTGCGCTCAAATGCACATGAATGCCACGTTCGCCTATGGTGTCGTAAACGCATGTGCATCCCATGATTCAAGGAACAACAGGAGTGCTGCCCGACAGGCTTTAGTAGATTCCATCGCACCCATTGGTGGAATACACCGACATGGATCTCGGCTCGCTGACAATGAACATCTTTTGGCCGTCTGGAGTGAAAGCAATTCCCTGACATTGACAAGCAAGGCGTTCAGAAGCGTGCATGCTGAAGCCAGTTATTTTCATTCTTGACAAAGCAATATCAATGAATATACAATGCGTTTGTGAGGCGGATACACTTTGGCTGCATTTGCCGAATACATGTCGAATCGCTGTCCTTTTATGCAGTGTGCGACATCGGCGGTACATCCGGGCAGGTACATGTAGTTCATGAACCTATAAGCTCTAGAGGCAGATGAGGATGCCCACGAGCATACAAAAGAAGCGAGTTCTTTCAACTTGCCGTACTGTGATATGTACTAATATGTATTTTGATAACATTGCAGGGCTTTTTCAGTCAAATTCATTAACATTGCAGTGCTGCGTGAGAACCCCTGTAACAAAAAGTGCGAGCACACCATTCGCGTCGAAATAGGCAAACCTAACAATGCCCATTTCGCAAATTCTGCTTCACATTTTCTGCCTGCTCACCTCTGGTCTGTCTCCACCTATATCCCATCTCTGCTGAACTGAATTTCCGTCCATCGCAAGTCTTATGACGCTTCTGGACTCCTGTACTTTCAGAAACGGAATCAATATTCCGCGATTATTAGAAAAATAAGATCAACGCGTGAGAGATTAAGGAACGTCTGAATATCGTGTATTCCTGTGGCGGCAGCTCGCAACATGTGCGGGTGCAAGGCTCCCAAGTCATGATCATATCGAGTTCCCTACAATTATGGGACGCGCTGTTTGTCACAGCAAACAGCTGCCAAATGGCGCTTATCAAGTTTGCACGCCACCCAATGGGCTGCATCCTGTCCAAGACTAACACGATTGGCCCAATCCACAAATATTGTTACAGCTGGAGGTAAAATTTTTGGCGCAAGTATGCACAATGGGACTGCACTATCAGAAAACATCATGTTTTTGATGCCAACTTCAATATCATTTTGACACAAATTGGTGCCATCACAGTCATTGAGCTGACACAAAGGTGGTGGGATGTCGCCAATTAGTATCAAGGGACGTCCCAATTGGCATCATAAGAATATAAGTTCCTACTGGTGTAAATGCCGCATTCTGAATTCAGAATTGGAAGGCAGTGATGGTAGGTGCCGCTGTTACTTAAGGCGCGTTGCTCCTGTTGGTCTTGCTATCTCTCCTGGCAGGAGTGGATAAATGTCCTTTAGACCAAGATGTCACTGTTGTAGCAGTGGTTTCGCAAGCTGGTACAGGAGGCGGCCATAGCCGCTTGCAGATTTTTTAATACACTCATCTTCATAACAGAGTGGAACATGCAACTGCTCGTGAGCTCATTCTGACAGCCGGCAGCAGCGCACATCAACGGGAGCAGTGATGATGGGTGTTCGATTTGACGGATTCCGCAGCGTTCATTGGTTCATGGCGCAGCAGAATCGCGTCGGGTACAGAGGTATTTACTCGTGCAAACATACTGCACAACAATGAGCTTATTCCGTCATGTACATATATTACAAGTCGTGATTTAACCGCGGGAAAATTTCCAGAAAGGTGTACCGCTGATGTAGGTGGGTTTAATCGGGGCTGCGTCTTGTTGATTCGTCCATCTTTCAAACACCCACTATCAGTACAATGCACTGAGAGTCATTTAAACGCAATAATATCCAACGCCCACAAAAGAGCGCCAATGATAATTCCCACCTGTGACAGAATGAATAAATTGTCGATGCTGGAAGAGTAATATATTCCGCTCAGGTCGCCAACGCCCACGCTCTCCAAATTGAATAGTTCCTGCGGTTAGCAGACGAGTCGGTCGGCAGGTAGAATGCCCCATATATGCTATTTAATTATCCGGCTTTGGGTACGTGTTGAGAAGCATCCAGAGGCATTGGAACGTGGCATTTAATTTGTAATATGATTACAGGGGGGGCCGTTGCTGTTCAGCTTGTTGGCCACAAATTAGCACCTAAGGATAGCTTTACCTGAATTTGGGGACCAAGCCGCTAAGCTCAGCTTCCAAACCAGACCTGAGCAATCGACTCTACTCGCTTCAGCGTTCTCCTCTTAAAGCTTATGGGGCTTTTGATTGCGGTTCCCAAAGCTGTGGCCCGCTCATGCGCCCATGCATTCAGCTTCCGGAACCACAGCGCTGCAAATGTTCAGACGTCGTTCGGATGCAGGAATATTGGAATATATTGGAATATATATTGTCATATATTATATATCATGTAATTATATATCATATAATATATTGAAATTGCTCTGCCACAAACGTCAAAGAGAAACAAAGTTGGGCACCCCGGCAGATAGGCTGGACAAGCGATTTCAAAGACTCATTGAGGCAACCTTATTCTCTGTTATGGTTTCGTCAAACCCAAATACAAAATTCTGCATTTCAAGCGAACTGCGGAGCAACAGAACAAATTTCGAAATAATTGCCACATACATTTGATGCCTGCAATCGCGGTCAATGTGCAATGCGCTGGATGCAGCGTGCTGTTGGCAGTCCTCGTTCCACATATCAAGATCGGTGCGGAATGATTCGATGAACTGGACTGTTTACCGCAATGAGAGCTAGAAGAAGGGTCCTCCACAAAAAGGGTCCAGCGCCATAAAAATAATTAGGCGCGTGACAAATGCTCTTCAAAGCAGTTTCGTGGAGACGATCTCAGCTGTACTCTTGTCTAATAAAGTGGCTATGTAGTTTGATTGCATGGTATCGTATTTTGGTCTAACACATTGGACAAGGCCTTCAAGGCCGCCAACACACAGTACACCGTTTCGTATAATTAAAAGCACTTTTTTTTCCTAGCGGCATCAGGGATCGCTGCCTTGAAGAAACTCCTGTCTGAAGTGCAATTATGTTCCCAGCCAGGATGCTTACCTTGTGATACCCGCTTTTATGCACTTCCACCACTCGCTTCGGACCCTTCTCTTGAACGACGTAATACACGCCCTTCCTGCCGCACAGCCGAACCCGTAGTCTCAGCCATTTTTTGAACGAGACTGTACAAGTATCCCAAACAAGGTAAGACCAATTATCGATAACACCAGCAGCACATGCAAAAGCTTTGCTCATAATCAGACTGAGGGTCCACATGAAGTGCAGAACTGGAATTGTATAGCACATTGAGTAAAAATAACTGAGGCAACATGAAAGTGATGTGTGAAAAAAATTGCTGACAAAACGAAAATAAAGGGACCAGAAAGTGGCCGATATCAAATTCTTTCATCGCTCTCCTTTTTATAGGTTTTGGTTTATTCTGGTGTTTTCCCTTCGATGCGGCAGTTCCACAACAAACACAACATCACAAATGTTGCCAACATTCATTAGAACATTTCGTTTTCATCTCAGCACAGATAAATGGTGCAATTTTGGGCTGGGGGAACCATGCGCGATGCTGCAGCATTGCAAGGACTCACTGGTGGTTGTATGCAATTCCTTCGAGTCCGGCATTACTCCAAACTTCAATGCCTACAGCTGTTCTTCCCTGCACCCAGAATGCACACAACGTGTTCACGAAGAATGCCCAGCAACTATTCGTCTATCAAAAAATGCCGACGGACAGTCTCATCAGAGCATTTGCGCACATGCGCAACTACTGCATATTACATTGCAAATATGCATTGGGAAGGGAATGTTGCATAGCGTGGTGCAGTAAGTGTACGGGCCGAGTGCACTTTCAATTGGCGTTATAAGATATGGTTGGAGCCGCGCTGTCTGACGCAGATGACTTTTAAACTTTGCTGACCAGGGGTGGGCGTGCGTCGTTATAACGGAAATGCAAACGTCTGCGGTCCGTTTGGGCTTCAGCAACGGAAACTTGAACGTCAGCAGTACGTTTCAGTTTCGAAACGGAACGTGAATGTCTGGCACACGTTTGGGGTGCCAAAACGATACGCCAACGTGCCCAGCGCGTCCACGTCTCCAAAAAGAAAACGTGGATGTCGACCAAACGTTTCAGCAATGGAAACGTTGACGCAAACATTGAGCAATGTTTGCTGTTCCGGAACTTCAAGAAAAGAAATCTGTTGCTTGGCATCGGCGACGATCTGCAAAGCTGGTGATATTGGCGGTGCCCTTAGCAGCATAAGGTACCCACACTCATCCAGCTCCACAACAATTCGCTTTGAGCCCACGTGGTGTTGACATCTTGACAATTCATCAAAGAGGATCGCGCCGATTTGGCGCGGCCAGGCCTACCCGCCGCTTTGGCGCACCTGTGGGACAGTTTCGCATATTCCCCCTTTCCTGTCCGCGTGTTTGTGCTTTTGCAGTTGGACGGCAAATCAAAAGTGTGCTGTGCGTTTGTCCTGTCAAACGGTAACACACACGTGCACGGTGAACGTCCAGACCGTCCAAATGTGGACGACAATGTGCATAGAACGCTTGGGTGCAAGGAACTGAACGTGAACGTCAGAATTGCGTTCGAGTTTTACGATACAAGAACGCCAACGTGTCGTTCACGTTACGGCGATGCTTCAGCCTAAACGTAACGTAAGCGTGGAAAACACGTTCGTTTGCACGCACCCATGTTGCTGACTGTGAATGATGTTGGTTACTTGCCAAATGAGCATAGGAAGACGTGAAAGCGGCTCTATCTATGCGCGTCCAACTTTGGCCATGCGTTCGTGTTTGCATTTTTACAAACACAGAGCGCACTTCGGTCATACACTTGTTCTCTGCACCCTCTTGTCTATCTCGATATTGTAAATCCTGTACTACGGCAGGTTGACGGTATATATGTTTTCAGCGTCGAGCACATGTTAATCTCTGTGATGCATATAACATGACAACTACTGCTATATTCTCACCGTGTCTTTTTGTGAACGAGCGTTGATACTCACTAGTAAACGAGAGGGCGGCGCGTCTGACAGCTTGTTCCCTATATGGTGATTCTGTGGCTGGGCCATAGTGGATCAGGTCAATTGGTATCTTGACAAGGGGATAAAAGAAAAGTTCTGTGCTGCCCACCAGGCTTGGTCTTTACGCTTGCGGATCCATTTCTGCGTTTGCGTTTTCACCCATAAATCCGTGTAAATAGAGAAACAGCCATTTTTGCGGCTGTTTCTACGGCCATATTATGTACATTTACGGCTCGTCTACACGCCCAGATTGCATGATGATGCCCCTAACAATGATGGGTCCTCCATCCCTTCGTGCACCGGCAACACAGGGCAAGGGCAACGACGTCGACGTCGCCGAGCGAAAAGTCGTTGTATGCACATGTCAGCTCCTCTAGCTAGCCAGCCACTTTTGGCAGCGCTGCCGCTCCCCGGACTCCTTGAGTCGATATGTACTGTCTCCAAATACACAGGGCCCATTCTTACGCATGGTTACGCATATCTACACGTAAAAGCGTAAAATCAATTCAATGCGTAAATATCTGTAACAGAAAGTGTTTGCGACGTAAATACCAAGCCTGATGCGAGCTGCAATGTCATTTGACGCTAATTGATGCCAACGCAGCAATTGCGACAGCACGGAACCAACTGCCATGGCCTCAGTGAGTTTCAAGTGGCATCTCAGCTAGCATCACCCAAATGGTGCTTGCTGCTAGTGCTTCCCATATCGGTGCCCGATACGGCGGGCGGGCCGACAAGCACATGCTGTCGATAAATTGAACACCCGTCTGGCAGCGGCTTCGAATTGCATTCAATCCCTCCAGGTGTGCAATTGCATTTGAGCTTAACAGTACAACGCGTATTATTGTACAATTTGCATCATTTGAAAAAATAGGACTCCGCAATTACCGGAAAATCCCTTTGTTGTATTTTGGAAATTTCGATGCATAGAACACAACTTTTGAGGGGCCGTCCTCCCTGCTGCGCATTGGATGGCGCTTGAGGCCCACTGTTTGGTACCAACGTTCTACGATGACAGAGTCACGTCCCATGGCTGTTGCACCTCGGATACAACACGGCAACGCAGCCGATTTCACCATCACCAACGCACACCGATAGCACGGGAGATCGCCGGCACGGATGACGCACCTGATACACGTCAGCAACACCGGGAGCCACGTTGACGACCGTGATGCCGCCATGCGTCGGCTCCTCCACCACTGCCAGATAGTGCCCGCCAACCCATGCCACACCTGAAAAGATCACGCGGCTGCGTGGAAATTAGGAGAATGTCTGATGCAGGCATTAAAATGATGCAAAGTTCTGTGGTCTGCAGACAAGAACATGCGCTTGTTCGGGTGGCGATGCCCCCCAGTGCGGACTGTCGGTTTTAGATGGCTAGGCTGCTCGCGCCGCGCTGCCTTCATCTCACATATATGTCTATTGCATGTCTCCTGCGCGTGAACCCGATAGCGAGTTCACTTGCAGGAGATATGCACCAGACACGTATGTGAGACGGGCGCCAGGGGGCACCGCTCATGACTCTCGAGAGGCCCCCATCTCCGGGCTCACCCAGCTGCGTACTGTCGGAATATTCTTCCGCGCACCTCCCTTTGGTCCCCGGCGACCGCACGACGACCGTCGCCGTGCGCGCGCCTCCCCGCCGATCGCGCTGAATCGAGCGCCGAAATTCCAGGCGAGGCCCGGCACGGTCGCGCACGGAGTCCCCACCGCCATCCATCGCATACGCGCTCGCCGCCCGCCCTTCCGCTCCCGCTTGGCCGTCCACTCGGGCAACAGCAGCAGCACAGCGGCGGCCGCCGCAGTGCGGCGTAGCGACCGTGGAGCCCAAGAACGCCGCGCCTGACCGGAGGCTGCCCACGCCCCGCCACGCTCCGGCCCGCAACAAATCCGTCGCTGTCGAAAAGCCGTCAAGCCCTCCCCCTTCCACCCGCTACACACACGGTCGCGCGCACACACCACCCCCTCTTCTGGGGGCCCTAGAGGCTTACGAGAGGACCTCTTTGTAGGTACAGGAAACTATGGGCGCACCCTCTGGGTCGTCGAAGCCGTGCCAGGACACCTTCCTCAGGAACTCCCCGCGCTGGCTGAGCTCCACGAGGTGGTTGGGCGAGCGCGTGACGACCCACAGGCTGCCGGTGTCGGAGTTGTACGTCGCGCCGGAGGCGTTGTCGTCGACGTAAGGCAGGCCGACCTGCTTGCAGAGGTCGAAGGCATTGAGGTCCCAGGCGGCCCCGGAGGCCGATGCGCCCGAGGGGAGCAAGGCGACGGCCAGGGCGCAGACTGCGGCCGCCATTTTGGGAGCCGAAGGACGCATGTTGGGGAGCAGCTGGCGCAGTCCTCGGAATGACTCCATGTTGCTTTTTTTAGATGCTGTTAGGCCGCTGCCCCTGATCCGTGGGAATCCCGCAGCTGCGAATGGACTTAGGGCAGATCCAAGAGGATTTTGAGCACACATGCTAGTGATGTAAACCAGGTTTGGTATTTACCCCGTAAACACAAACCGTGTTTACGTTATTATTTGTAAGAATGGTTTTATGTTTTTACACATAAAAACGCGTGAAAGCACGTAAATATAACGTAAGTACAGCACAATGTTCAGGAGGACAGTACATACAGACTTGGGGAGACCGGGGAGTGGCGGCCAGGCCCGCTGGAATGGGCAGAAAACGCACTTTTGTTCTATGTCATCGTTGCCCTTGTCGAGGGCAAAGGTGGGCAATGTGGTTGGGGGTGCTGGACATGGCGGAGGACTGATTATTGTACGCGACTTTCACCGTGTAACCTGGGTGTCCCAACGCGCCGCAAAACCCCCCCAAATAGCCACAAAAATAGTCCCTCTAGCAAAGCTACTTTTTTACATGTAAAAATGTTAACGTAAAGACCAAGCCTGATGTACACTGATGTGCACGCGTGTGCACATCAACTCACATTGATGTGCGCACACGAGCTCACTGATGCGCGTCAAGCGACCGTGCGGGGTGGAGGTCTGCAGGGGCTGCAGCGAGGCGGTGTCCCGCCGGACGCTGTGTCCGGTTGCGGTCTCATCACAGCTTCAGGTCGCTTCTGGAACCGCTGTTCAGTGACGTCAGCATCATGGCGACGTCGCCGAGGAGCGAATTAAATGCGTCGCTACGATAGGTAGAAACTGAGAGGACACTTTGCTTCAGGTCGATTGGGAGTTCTCCCAGGCTCAGTGACTGATCGGACTCAGACAAAGGAGGAAAATGAGCTTGCGAAGGATGATTAGGCTGTTACTGTGGTTACTGGCTCTTAGACATTTTCTCTTGTTTTCACGGGGGAACTTCTTTGGGCTTACAAACTTCGTTTCAGGTGTGCAATAACGCCCATAGATCGTTCGCCAATATGAGATATCTCATCGATGAGTGGGACATATTATGATTCATTTGTCCAAATAAGATATTGCAGTGATCGACCGCTCACGAGCACTCGCGGGCGAGGATCGTCACTGCCACCATACACCCGCGTGGCCGGTTTTGCAACGTGCGCAAGCATTTGCCGCCCTGACCCGTGCCCAGCTACCAGTGGAAACCATTGCTCGCCAGCTCAGAAAGGAAATGAATGTCAGTAAAATCAACTGCGGAGATCTGGCACTTCCACTTTAAGTAGAAGCAGCATGAATGCGGCGGCCGCCCTGGATACATGCTAGGTTCTGATGATTGCAGTCAGGCACCGGCACTGAAAGCGTCATCGTCATTGCTTCAGCCACCAAAAGAAGAGGGCTGGTTCTTGTGCAAGTCACACAGCACGCTAGCGATGCGATTTGATGAGCACAGCGAAGCTACAATGTTAACGAGTGTGCCGATACCTGCGTCCAATTCGGCACAGACACGACTGTTGCAACACAGGGGCTAGCAGCTCCTTTGAGCTCCGTCTGTGCCTTGCTTCAGAGAGTGGCCTTTTTGGGAGGCAACCAATGTTTTGGAACCGAACGCAATCAATACTGGAGTTCATTTGTAAGAACGGTGAATTTGCCGGTGATGTTGCAACACAGATATGTCAGAGAGGGTGTCAGTTCGCTGCAAGACTGAACGCTTCTCAAGTCTAGACTAGACGAAGATCCTCGCCACGTTGAGCAACGTAGCAGGAGCGCTCAGGTGTAGGTTTGCCTGACTGGATAGAAAGTAGAGGCCCATTTCCCTTACAACGCAGTGGCCATGTGATCGAAGCCAGAGGAGTAGCTCAGGATGCTGTTTCAAACCATGGAGGACTATTTCACGACCTGTTTCACTAGCGCGTGCGCATATCTTACTGCAATTCGTACAGGTTGCTTTTGCAGGCAAAGCGCGAAAGAGCAATGCCCCTGCACGCATTGAGCGATGCCCAACAGTCTCGTTGTCCGTACTATTCCTATTTCCTTACCCGTTGGTCCTTGCTATCTTTAGTGCACCGCAGCCACAGGTCTCAAAGGACTTGGCTAAGTGGAGGGCGATCTCGGACGAGCTCCTTCGATTTTTGACAAGCAGGCAGTTCAGTCTACGTCAAGCCTCCGCTCCAGGGCAGGCAATAAAAGACCTTGAAGGCAGGGGGTCGCCCCTGCGCCCAAGGTCGCCAGGCCGCCAGCACAATGACTTCAACTTGGCCAGGAGGCTTTGAACCCAGGATCGAATTCAAGTGAGGGGGGCGCCGCGGAGCGCAAGCAGTGGCGATCCTGCGGAATTGGCACTCTGGTTCGAAACGCGGAGCCCTTGGAGTTTCGCGCGCTGCCTCTACGTATCCGACTTGCCACCAATCGCGGTTGTCAGGGACAGAATCGAAGGTCAGGCAACGCAGCAGTCGTCAATCAGGTATTGCCCAGGTGGTATTCCTTGCCATCGCCTTGCAAACGCGAGCTCTACAATGCACATTTCAACAGTGTCGGATGACACAATTTCATTGCAACCCAATTTATCTCCGTGCAAACAAACTTGCGTTCAAAGACGCTGGCAAAGAAAACATGGCGAGAAGATCCACGATGTCGGCAGCTGTGAGAAAACATTGAAGCCCATGTGCAACTGTTGTTCATGATGTTACGTCATATAAAGTAAAATGGTGGCGCTGCTGGCCACAGCAGAGACACACGATTTGTTCTGAGGTTGCGGTCATGCGACCAGAGGGAGTGCACAGTCGCCCTCCAGCTAACGCCGTCAAGCTGCCACCTGGCTAAGCTGAATTGAGTCAATCTGGGGAGGGGCTGTAACAGGCACCCCGGCCGCGGGTTGAGATGGCAAATCAACAGCCACAGCCTCTGGTCCGTGCCACACACCCCTCTTAACATTGTTGTGCACCAGTGTCCGCGTTTCTTGGCAGAGGGCTGCACCAAGAGACCATGAGTGACAGCAAAAATCAGACACGCAGCATGCAGACGGCTCATGGTGATGGCAGCAACTGAAGGCAAACGAAAAAATGGCCAATACACAGCAATTCATCCAGCAGCTCACCACCAATGCCCAGCTGTGCATAAGAATTCGATCTGCCTCCTGTACTTTCAAAGACTGATTTTCCTGAGGTAATGGAGTCCGTGGATGCCCTGGACATGTGGGCATGAGGCCTTAAGCCCAGGGGTAAGGTTGCTATAGGGTCAATGGGCAGTTCAGAGTTTAAGTATCTCCCACATAAGTGCACCTGCGTCCTCCCATCAACGCTATCAGGTACAAAGTCTGTGCTGTCTCATGACATGACATAGGTAATGAAGGAAATGACTGAAAAGAAGCCTGGCCTTGAAGGACACATATGCAGGCCAAAAGTATTCCTACACAGACCCCATTGTCAGACTGACATGTTGAACATAAGCTGGGCTGACATTGGACATCAGCCAGGGTCACAGCGCTCAGGCATGAAGCCCTTCAATGGCAATGTTCCCAGCTATGCATCAGACAGTCGCTGACTCCCGGGTGAACGCTTTCTAAATCACTATGGACAGGTGTTCAACTGTGGCAGTTGAGCTCTCATGACACACAGCACTCACCGCAGCAGGCGCAAAACGTCCATGCCAAGACATCCTCAAACACAGCCGTCTTCTGAAAGAAGCACCCTGGCCCTTGGATGCTGAACTTTCTGCGAGTGTGCACCCTGCTCCACGCCCCGACTGTGACAAGAGGCACAAAACATATGGCCGAGCCCAACCCCACCCTGTACTTCAACTTGTCCACGTCAACAACTAGGTGGCAGGTGTGCTCTTCCATGGGGGAGTCACACTTCCTCTCGAAAGTCGTCAGGAGCGCCACGAATGGTGCAAAAACCAAAAATGAAAATAGGACGCCCCAAAAGATGGATGCTCGCTTGTCGTCCTGCACACGTTGTTTGTTTGATCTGGGAAGACACAGGGGAGCAAGTGACAAAGAGAGGAGATGACACAAACCAAGTGAAAAGGAAAAGTGCAGTTGGTCGTCTCTGAGATGGCAGGTCACAAGTGTCTGGATAAGCCAGAAAACGTTGTGTACAGTGTCTGTTGCTTGATAGTCTTGCAGGCTGTGGGCGCTCTGAGTGCGCGTGTTAAAGTCGTCAGTCCAGTAGATTTGGCCGACATCTGAAATGCTAGTTTGCAAGCTCAAGGTGTTTGGTTAAATGCCCTTCTCTGCAGAAGATACGGCAATGAACGATTGTACGCATCGCAGCGGGGGAAGGAATAGAGAGTTGACAAAAACACAGCGTACGGCCCCAAAACACAAAGCGAGTTTGCAAGGATTCCAGAGCCATGGCGGCGACCAGCAACAGAACCAGGCGCACGAAACACAAGCTTTCGCTCCGGAGGACGTGTAGCAACGCGACTGGCAGTTTTCCGACACTGTCGGACCGCAATCCGTAGCATTTCATCCCAAGGACCAACACACAGCGATAAGATTCCGGAACGCAACGGTTCCAAACCCCGGAATGAGACAATGCACGGGGTGCCAGCCTCCCTCCCAGTCCAACAAACCCGAATGCTCCCCAGAGTACTCTCCGTCGCCGGCGCGACGCCCCTCCCGCCGCGCCCCTCGCCAAACGGACAGACGAGCCCAGAGTCGCGTCCCCTCTACTTGGTCTATTACACACTGTCTACCTGCTTTATTGTACATTGGTTGCCTTCAGCGGCTGAGAAAAAGTGGGAACACACCGGACACACCACGGATGGGGCATGACTTGTAACGTCGAAACCCTTTGCACACAAGGGATCCCAACTTAATGGAAAACTCTCTCTGTCCGTGTCCCCATCCAAGCTCCACACGCGACAGACTCTCCATAGAATGAGAAATCTTCGCGCGCCGGCATCCCCACCCACCCGAAAGCGGCGCCTGGGCACAGGCAGACCAGGAAACACGTGCGCCGGGCGGGGTCCTCCAGCTCACGCCCGCAGCTCCACAGGGTGCCGTCGTACATGCGCGCGTGGCCGGCATCGGGCGCGGAGTCCTGCACCAGGGCGGGCACGCCCACGGCGGGGGAGCCCGCCGTGGGGCCTCCGGGCAGCTCGAGCAGTCTCAGATTGGAGCGTTCGGCATCCCGGGGTCCCACCTGCGCAGCGGAGTGAGACGCATGTTTATGCTTCGGCGACGGAGTCCAGAGGGGGGGGATGGATCAAGCGAGGGATGCGCGACCGTGCGATGCGCGATTGCGGTTCTGGCCGCACCTGGTCCATGGTGGGGCGTCCCGCCGAGGACTGGGCCAGGCGGCCTTATGCCCCGCTGAAAGCCAGAAGCTGGCGAACCGCAAAGAAGAGTGGTTCCGTTGGGGAAAATTAGGAGTGTTTGACTTGCCCGTTGGACGTCGCAAATCGGAAGACTCGTGTACGATTGGGACGTGCAGAAGTTGCCCCATCGCGCAGAAAATGGCGGCAGTCATGTTGAATAAAATGAGGAGGGCCAGGCCATTATAGACCGTTCTGACCGCTCCTATAATGGGAGTCATCCTCGTCTCATCAATACCGAACATCCAGGCCAGCCACCCAAGGAGAGTCACCAGAAGTTCCCCAACCCAGTGGATGCCAGCGCCCAGGAACCTCACGCTCCGTCCGACAACACCAGCCAACGTCGCCATGACCGCAACCCCTTCCATGGGCGATCCCGGAAAGCTCATAATCATTTCGCACCTCACCGCAGAGGTCTCCACCAGTTCCGTACGACGCAATGTCCTCACAGCGTCCACCCGTTGCGCGTACCGGCCGATCCGCACTCCCGTAGGGTGCTACGGCACTCCAGCACCAGCGGCGCTCGCCTTGCATAATGCGCCGCCCTCAGTCACTCCGGATCCCCACAAACGCCTTACTCAACACTCAGCGCGAGTGTGAGCAACGCCACAAAGCCTCGGGGCTCCTTAGGCCGGCTTGCGGACGCACAGGTACCGCAAGAGGGCAAGACAGGTGAGCGGTCGAGCCGGCGGGGGGCTGTGGCGCGACGGTGGGGAGATACAGGCGGCTGGGACACAGAGAGAGTCACACAGAGGCCTGCCGGAGAGCTGCCTGGACAGACTCCCCGCGGCTTTTTATTACAGGAGTGTCTGTTTGGTACAGCTGTTACTCATTGGTTCACCCCTCTCGTCACCCTTCCGAGTCCACTCGCACTCCCGGACAAGAAAAGACCCAATCAGTCACACATTCCACAACAGTCCGCCCCATACAATCGCATGCCAGCCAAGCTTGTCACACGCTCCTCCTCCGCCAGAGATTCTCTTGGACAGCTCCGGTCGCGCCAGCTGGCCTCAGGCATCCTCCGGTCATCGCGTCATCCGCCAGCGTGCACCTCGTCCCGTCACGATCGCCGCCCCGTCTACCAATTTCCAGTAGTCCGCACCCTTCAGCCACCGAATCCCGGCGGGAGCGATGGCGTCATCACCCTCTCGTTGCGCGTCCCATCAAAACCGGGTGGCAGGGCAGGTGTCGTCACCTTGGCAGCGCCGATGGTTGCTGGTACCGTAGGCGGCTCCTCACTGGGCGCATCCACCATGACGTCATCCGGGGCTTGACCACGCGCCCGCGCTTCCCGGCGCTGACGCCGGATGGCCCTCCGCCAGGCGCGTGTTACGCGCACCGGCCTGGTGTGGGGGACGCCCTACTACTGGCCCTTGGTGTGGGGGACGCCCTACCCAAGATCGTATTGTATTCCTTGTCCTACGGTAACTCTTATACTTATAAGGATATGGGAGTAGGAGGGGTGGTCCCACCTAGGTCCCCGTAAGGACCTAGGTGCCCGGCGAGGCGGGTCCGCGGCTCAAAGAGGGCAGGCGCCCCACACCCACAGACTTTTCGTATCATTTGGTTTTGGAGCCACCTGAGGGTGGCTACCACGCTTCCGCCTGGGCGGAGGCACAAGCGCGGAGCAACGGGCTCCCTCCCCGGCCTCCACCATGGAGGCCGAGGAATCAGACAGTTCTGCCCGCAAGGGCACCCCTGACACGTCGGGAGAGGTTGAAACACCCCGGGAGGGGACACCGACTTCGGTTGGTGAGGTTAAAGCCCGAGATGGGCAAGGAGGTGACAAAGTCTGGGAGGACACGGCTGGACCCTCCACAGCCACTCCGCCACCCGCAGAGGAAGATGAATTGATGGGGGAAGCGAGTGCCCCACCGGCGGCGGAGAAGAAACAAGAGCAAGAACAGGGGACCATGGCGGCGCTGCTGTAGACCCCTAGTATCATGGCGCTCTTGGAACAAGTGGCGGATGCTGCTGCCAAGAAGGCGAGAGCAAAGCGGGAGGAAGAGACCGCCGAGAGGATCGCCTCGCTGGAGATCGCCGTCAACAAGGCCAAGAAAGAAGCTCGAGAGAAAGAGCTGGCCATGAAGAAGGCGAAGCAGCAGAGCCGCGAGGCACAAGAAGCCAAAACCTCCGCCGAAGACCAGGTCAAGGCGTTGAGTGACCGCCTCCTGAAGCAAAAGCAGCTGGCCCAGGAGGCAGAAGAGAGAAGCGCCCAACAGGTGGTGCCAGCTGTGAGGGCCCCCAGTCCGTCGGAGCTGCCCATGCCAACCATTCCAGAGGAAGACTGGAAGGTTGCTGGCAAGCAGCGCTCCAAGCGGAAGAGTCCATCGCCAGGTGAGCGGCCGATGGAAAGTGAGAAATCTCCATATCAAGGCCGGGAGGCCAAAGCCTTAGGGCGAGTTGAGAGAATGCAAGGCCGGAAGGTCAAGATCCCGGAGTTACGGCTCAAATCCCAGGTGTATGTGAGAACACCTAGTGGATCGGACGGGACTGGAGATGAGTCGCTCACAGAAAGCGCTCAAGCTGTTTGCGGAAAAAGTCCGCCAAGGCCGGGAGGCCATAATTGGAGCCCTCGGAGGCCTGCGCTACCAGAATGGGGGCCGGGTGAAAGCTCAAGGGTGCTGGAGTTCGTTCCAGACACTCGAGATCCATATAGCCGGCAACCACCGTGCCGTGCAATATGGACAAAGTTCCACAGTGATCTCGTCGATGAGCTTGACGAGGGATGGCGGATGGCCGCCGACCAGTTTGGAGAAAGGTTAACCACCGCCAGACTGGTTAGAATACAAAGGTGGTATGGTCCTGGAATGGCAGATCAGATTGCCAAAGAGGACCCAAATTGGCCAAAAAAGATGGCCTTTGCGCTCAGGCATATCCCGGAACCATGGGACTTGAGCGAGGGGAGTCCAGAGAGACCGGACCCCAACGATCCCCACGAACGGTGGGAGGAGATCTCGGAGTTGTCGTTCTCATCTTGTGCATCTCCAATGCCGGGAGACATGTCCACCCGTGCACAAGTGCACAGAATGGAGAAAGAAAGACGATGCATTCGTAACCGAGATCGGTTTGTTCGTGCCAAGAAACTGGACGAGCAAAAGGCCAGAAAGGCCAAACAACGGAGAGAGTTGAAAGCGCTGCGACGTGAGCGGGATCTTCAATTGAATCCCGAAAAATATGAGCGTAAACAAGCTCACAAACGCCAGCGCAAGGCTGAGATCAAGCGGTTTTTCTCCGCAGGAGGCAGCCAAAAGGCGCAGCGCCTAGAGGTTAAGCCGCCGGTCGATGAGCTGGACCCGGCCGAGCAGGCCAAGGCCTTCGCCCGTATTGCCAAGAAGGAGGGGACCTCCAAACGCTGGGCAGATCAGCAGGACAGTAGCGGCAGTGACAGTGGTGTAAACCACCCTGCCCGCTTTGTCCCTACCCAACCGGAACAGGCATCGCCGTCGGTTGTGGAGACCAGCGTTCCCAAGGCGAAGGAATCGCCCGGCAAGGAGAAAGACCCGCCTATGAAGGCGAGAGATCAGCCTGAAAAGGCTAAGGGGAGATCCCAAGGCCTGCAAAGGCCAACCACAGGTGACATTCCTATCGAATTGCCCTTGCTGCAACCTGTTGAGAACACCAAATTGCATAACCGTGCAGACATCGTTGATTCTACGGGTAACGACGATGTTGTGTATCTCGGTTCAGCAGGTGAACCTGCCAGTCCCATTCCCCCGGAGAGACGGGAGACATATGAGGTCCTGCAGAAGCAGGAAGCCGCTTTGCAGCAAGCAAAGACGGATGCAGAGAAAGCTGCTCAGCTTCGTTCCTTGATGGGGAATGAAGATTATGCAGCATATATGGAACTGCAAGAGGTGAAGCGGGCCTCAAAGGGACAGCAGGAACTGCAGTACAAGCCGGCCTTACCAGGACCTGGCTACCAGGAATGCCGTGCCCAGCAAATGGCGGCTGAACAACGTGGTCGGGCAAAGGAGCCGCACAAGGCACCCAGACCAACCCCAGTAATACATATCCCTGTCATCCAGGACAGGAGGGGATTCTGGGATACATTGGGTGCATTCCACGACCCTCATGGAGGGGTGTACTTTAAGGGGTATTATCACCCCCGAGGGGGCCATGCCCCCTATCGTGCACAAGTCCCACGGGACGCCCTCCAGCGTATACCAGTGAAACTGCGAGGCCTCTTTGATGCTCAGCAGTCGGCACTGGGCATATACATGCCAGAGGGTCATGAAGCAGCCACGGAGTGGCAGGCCATCCAAAGAACTGGCCGCAAAGTCCCCGAAGAGGGACCAGCTCAAATGCCCCCGGGACCATCAATGCAAGCAGGTCCCTCTCAACCGGTTCGTCCAGTGGCTCAGCCTGAATTGGCGCCAAGACAACCGGTGAGGCCTTATACAATGGGGCAGGCTGGACAGCGGGTGACACAGCCCCCAGTGCAAACTACGCAGCAGAAGATTCAAAGGCTGCAGGAGATGTCTCCATTTGCGCCGGGATCTGCGAGGTACCCGCCAGTTTCAGGATGGCCGCACAGCCAGGGATGGCAGCACAGCCAGGGATGGCCACTCAGTCAGGAGTGACGGTTCAGCCCGGGAGGGCATATCAACCCGGAAGGGGACCCCATGCGGAGGAGCACCCAACACCCGTGTACGAGGACCCGTCCCATCTTGGGGGATCGGGCAGTTACGAGAGGGTGTACGATTATCCGCCCAGCCATTTCCAGACCCAGGAACCTCCAACTGAGGAATTTCTGTATGGAATAGAGGAAGGCGAGGTTGTTGAGCCACATCGGGCGGAAATGGGGCCTCCCCCGCCTCCGGAGGGGTACAATCCCCTAGGACCGGGTTACACCGGACAAGCCTATTTGGCAGCGGCGCAAGAGGTACCATATGCGCCGGTATATTACCAACCCGGAAGGGAAGCTTAGGTGAGCATGAACATGCCTAAGA